TAGGGTGACTACCGAGCACACAGTCCACCTGATGGTAAGCGGTTACTGCGGTCCATAGACATTTACATCTATCTTCGATTACAAATCAAAATGCAGATGCGTTGTCACCCGTGAGGACTAAGATGGAATGCCTCGTTTCCAGTAAAAAGGGTCTCCAGTTCTTTACACTCACCATACGAAACACAGCAGCATTAAGCTACTATTTCACGCTGGTATTCTGTGAGAGCGTCGTCCTTCCCCGGTCGAGCCGATCCATTCGTGCTACAACTATACTACTAATATAACTGCAGCATGGCTCTACCACGTATGAATAGATAAGATGCAATATTACCAGACATTCACTATGAGAGTAAGTTCTTTAGTTCATTAGGCGTGCATGACAAACACACACCCTTGTTGTGTCCTGAGTAGCAGAATAGAAAAATGCTTCCGCGCTGAACACCTACGCTGAACACGGCAAGGCTAAGTATATTTAGTGTAGGACTGTAGGACGACTTCAATATTGTTGACGAGCACAAATGATTGATTGGACCCAACGCAGTGGGACCTAAACCCGATACCTCAAGCTAAACTTTGGAATTTTCCTGACATGTCAGGAATTTTAGCCCTCTCTTAGGGAAACAGGAAAATTTTTAAAATAATAGGAATCTATAAATAAAAATAGAAAAATATAAGAAAAACAAATTAAAATATTATTTAACAGTTCAATCACAAAAAAATAATAAAAATTAATCTGATCTGGCTCGTATCTCTTATTGCTGAATGTTATGCATAATATGTCAAGCACATGCGTGAGTTTTTTATAATTAGATATTTTTGCTGCTTCTTCGTTAATATCAGGAAATTTATTAAAAAGTTAGGGATTTTGCCAGGAAAAATCATTTTTCGGATCTGGTAGCCCAAATAGGAACCAGCTATATAGGCTGTCGATAATATATTTAAACGTTAAATTTCAATTAACGAATTCTTTGAAACAGTGGCGAAGCCTACATAGAAGCCGAACAGCCGGGCTTGCCCTATCAAACTGCTCAATCAATAATATCAACTAATAAAATAACTCGTCAACTGTTTCAAACTATTTCAAATTTCCTACGCGCTGCTCTGTTCTACACAGGCCATGACCCCGTAGCCTTATCGATACTGCTGTCATAAAAAAGAAGATGAGTTGAGCGATTAGTCGTCTCTCTCGCACGTGTGGGCTTTTTACCGGGCGTTTGAGAAGACGATCGCTCCCTTTCTAACCTGTGGTAAAATGTTCTATAATTAAATATAACTACGATTGTTTATATAGCAATTAGTATAGAGCAAAAAGCCGGGCTTTCGGTGTGAAGTTGTCGAGTACGGGAGAGCGCGGGCGTTACGTTTGCAAGTTCACTTCACATTTCAATGTTTATTGTTTACTAGAGTGAACGATTATTCCAAGTTGAAAATTTACGCTTTTTTAAAGATTTTCAGTGAAAATTGAGGATAATAGTGTTCCTTGTGATGAATTGAAGAGTGTTAAAGTGCTAAACGGCGAGGAAAAGGTAAAATCTTTAAACTTTGTTGAGAAAATACACAAGGTCAAGAGCGTCTTTCAGACTTATCAATTACCGCAACTGAAAAACGGTTATTGGTACAATTAAAACGTTCACCAACATTTTATGTGGACGTAATCAAATCTTTCCTTAAGAAAAAGAGACGATTCGATTTAGAATATAAATAGTTTTTTTTTTATTTTGTATATGGTTAATTTGTACTTTGTTCCTGTTTTTCTTTTGTTCATGAAGTGTATAGTATGTAAATATCTTTTTCTTTCATTGAAGCAAACCCAAACATGCAATATGCAATTGCTGATATGTCATACAATCTATATAGCAGTAGTCTGCTTCTGTGTGCTTTGTTAAACACGTCCTTGACAGCACTGAATATGAAACAGAAGAGTGGAGACAGATCAACATTGGTGTTTTTTATAAAATTGCTAGAAACAACAAAACCATATCTTGGGCTTGCCCTAGTTTGGAGCCGTAGCTTCGCCACTGCTATGGAACAGTAATTAAAAAACCCGACTGCTTTTAAAAGTTTACTAAAAAATACCTTTCCCTCCCTTTTTGTATATTATGTCATATATTATAGCCTATGTCACTCTCACAACTAGGACAAACCTAATAATACATCATATGTTAAAATCCATCTAGCCGTTTATGCTAACGAGTGCGCCAAAGAAATAGACGTAGATACATACATTACCTTAATAACTTAACTTACTTACCATCCTTAATAACTCTAATACATTTTTAATAACTCTAATCCATTATTAATACCTCTAATTTCGTTCTGTTGTTTTTGTGATACGTTATCTACGTCAGTATCACGCTATCAATTACACGCGTGTGTTACTAGAACGAGCACAGTCGGAACACAATGGAATGTGGTAGATTAGTACACTCATAAACCAACAGTTTTGAAACTTCACTATTATGTAATTATCTAACAATAACTGAGATTAAACGGTCACAGACTATTCACTTATTCGTTTTTCTATTAAATATTCGCATCAACACGGTATAGGGATATTTTCAACCGACTTTCAAAAGGAGGAGGCTACTAGGAGGTACTACTCAATTCGACTGTATGTTTTTCATTTTATGTTAAGTACCTGAGGTACTTTTTCTGAACGAACCGATTTTGATGATTTCTATTCGAAAGCTGGTGCATCTCGTTATACGCGTATACTTTCCAATAAGGTACGCTTAAACTTTGAGCGAAAAACATACTGCACTAGTTAAAAACGTACATCGAGCATATACCCGATAGAGTGTATGTTATTAATGTGTGTAGATAGTATTTGTATGTTATACAAAATAACACTAATATTATAATTAAATTATAATTACTTTCTGTTCGCCTGACTATTCCGTGATAAAAGTAAACAAATAAAAGAAAATGTACTATGTGGATTATATAACATATTATATTGACTAATATTGACCCTTGAAGTTACTTCTGTAACAGCTTCGACTTTGCAGCCCCTTCGCCCCATGTAGTACGCTCGTACTTGTTACTCGTAGCAATCACAGTCACGGTTGAGGCTGAGTGTCGAAGGCGACCAATAAGCCGAAGCTGCGGAGATAAGGGTCTGCAATTTGCTAGGGCGGGCGGGAGATGCTCTCCCTCCGCGCCTACGGATTTACAAAAACACTAGGAGTAGGGCAGAGAAGACCACGTGGAGTCGGAGGGTGCTGATTATGTTTTAGAATCTGTCGAAATGATTCGAACAATCATCTAATTACGAGTAGCCCCTAGCCGTGTTTTCGCGTTCACCATAGATTTTTTCCGAAAACTCGGTTTATCTTATTATTATTCTACGACATATTTAGACATGTAATTTATAATCGTACACATAATTATATTTAATTATGACAATGAATGCCGTAAAAAAGTATGTGTCAAATTGAAAATTAATTGTATTTCTATTTCTTGTTGAAGGTAATTGGACATATTATGAAGATAAATAAGATTTATGTGCATTTATAATAAAAATACTACTTTTATTATAAAAATAATTTTTTCTCTCACAAAGGACTTCATTATTTTAATAGTTACCTTTAAATTGCCATACAGTAATAACTACATGATTAGTTGATAACTAATTGTTGTATATTTTTAATATAATGCCATTTACTTAGTGAAGTTCTGAGCTTGTATACTTTACTAATACTTGTTACGCGTTTACATCCTAAATGTATACAATGTCAGAATATGTCGGTTTTAGCCTCGTATAATCTACTAATTTTCTGAATCTGATTTTATTTGCTACACATTCTGAAAACATATAGTGTAAGAACACTATGAATGCGTGCTGTCCTTGTATAATTTCAATATACGCCTCGAGTACAGTGTGACCAGTAGTTTTTGAGTTATCCTTAATAATGCGTATTAAATACACTTCAAATACATTAATAATATTCTCATTTTATTTATGTGGAAGTCGGTTATACCAATTTTTTTTATCACTTGTTAATAACATTGACCAACTAAAAAAAGTACTGCTCTTATTGAAATTTAACATTAAGTATATTATAGTGTGCTTTTACCACTGGTTCGGAAAAACGAAGAATCCTTTTAAAATTGGCTTTAGCTCCTGAAGTATTGTGTTTTTTTTGGCACTAATTATCACGAAATCTTAGAATAACATAATTCGCGGTATCGTTGGAGAGGATTCCACCTTGAAGACCGCATAGGCTTAGGATAAGGAGCTAGGCGTTCTCTTTAATTTCATATTACTTGTACACGAGCAACCGCGGAATGATCCTCGCCGGAGCTACTGAATCGTTGTTTAGAAGCGTTAAGTTATCGAAATACCCTACTTTTGTAATTATACTAGCTCTTCTATTCTCACATTTGACAGACTGCAACACAGAAATGGAGTCCTACAAGTTTTATTATTATAAAATTTCTTAAACTGTGACTGACTGTACCACCTGTCTTACCTTATATTTTTTTACTATTATATATTTTTTTACTATTATATATTTTTTTACTATTATATATTTTTTTACTTAAGAGCCGTGGTAGCTCAGATGGTTAACGCTCGCTGTTAATATCACAGAACGCGAATAACCCGGATTCGACCCGGGAATGAAATTGTTAATTGCAATTTTAAGTGCATATTTACCACGTGCTCGACGGTGAAGGAAAACATCGTGAGGAAACGTACATGTCTGAGGAATAAGAAAAAAAACATTTCGAAGACGTAAAATTCGCCAACACGCATTGGAACAGCGCGGCGGACACTTCCTTGTCCTAAAACCCTCTCAGAAATTAAGGGAGGCCTGTGCCCAGCAGTGGGACGTATATAGGCTGTAACTATACTATACTATATATTTTTTTCTTTATTTAGTGTTAGTACTTATACATATATTATAATAACCAACAATGAATAATGTATGTTAAATCATATCACAAGAAAATAGTACACGTTTTAAAATATAAATTTGTACTTTGACGAATAGTCTTACCGTCTTAGGTAGTAGATTTCTCTGAAGTTTCTGCACCGGGTAAGTCTGTCTCCAGCCGAACAGCCTCACTAATTTGTCGGCTACGTCTTCACAACGGGGAGTAGAGTCTTTCATTTCGAAGAAAAGTATTACCACATATTGTTTACGGCGATTAATTCACTTTAAATAACACTATCATTGAATTAACAATTTAACTTTTAACAATGCATCCCTTGCTCTTTTGTTTCTAGACTGACCTGCCTGGCATTGAATATTAAGAATGTAAGACGTCAACGTAAACACATTACTTTAAAATTTGTATTATATACAATAATTAAATTTTGGAATACCACTAACATTATTCACTACATAATTCGTTAGATAAATGAGATAAAATGTACATTAAGACAGATACACAAGACAACACTCAACGGGAACTGCTTCATCTATGACACCGCAATATAACCGCTAGACTTGCAACCAGACGTGCAAAAAAAAACAAGAAAAAATGTTAGGTACATAGTGACGCGAGCAAGAGCGCAGCGATCTGCGGAGCTGGGCTTCGTTGCCGTTATCGCGGCATCGTTATCTAGGTATCGCCTCCCCTCCAACGTACAGTACCTCGCACAAGCCTCGACAATCTCCACTATACGAGCTCTATCTACAATCAATCTGCCAGACACGCAAAATATTCTGCCCGTCCACCGTCGCTTAAAATCATATCTTCACGATTAAATCTAACGAAGCTTTGCATTAAGGTTAACGAAGCCTACAACAAGCCCTAGACAGCATCAGCTCAATTTTATATATTATCTACCTGTTTTTACGACACATCGGTCAGTGAGCAAATAGAACGAAGAAAGCTGATGTGTGTAATTTCTAACGAGCTCTCTAGACATATCCATTGATATAAAATGGATTATTTTATATATTTTGAAATAAACATTATATTGCTCACATTCTACTAAAAATATGAAAGTGGGCCTTTCACAAAGTACGTGATGCTAGCCAAGTAGTACTGCTCCTCTAGCTACATAATAAAGACAACTTATTAAAAGTCCACTTCTGAATATTGGCGTCTCCTAAAGAGTGTTCACGGTCCCGCGTCACCTGCATCCAGCGGCCTCCTGCTTGTCTTACGAGGTCGTCTAGATAGGGTATCTAGTAAATGATCGTCCTACTCTCCGTTTACCCGTAAGACTAAAATCAATTTGCTTAAATCCTCATCCAATAATAGAATATTTGTAATTAACAATATATCATATTAATAATTAATTATTATCATTTTCTTGAAGTTATTTTTTATGATCAGCTTACAGGAAGAATAAAAAGGAAGATATATCAATCATCGTGAAGTCTGTACAATCATAGGTAGTTAATTTATTTCTTCCCTATGTTTAGTGTTTATTTAATTATTTTAAAGAATAAGGGGAACAAACGAGCACACAATTCACCGGATGATAAGGCGCATAGATATCTGTATCTATCCTCGATAAGGTCTTAAAATGCAGATGAGTTGTCACCCCCGAATAATTAAATGGATTGTCCCGTTTCCAGTATAAAGGCTCTTCGAGCCATCAACATTCACCAAACGAAACACAAGCATTATGATGCTCATTAACGCTGGTATTCCGTGAAAGCGTCGTCCTTCCGTGGTCGAAAACTACTTGATAAATAAAATATCACGTTTACAATTTACGTAAACTATTTTTGATAACAAATACTGGTAGAGTAATGCTTAAAGATCTTTTTAACGTTAATTTTGTTTGTAGTTTAAAGTTTTTTTTTTTTCCAATATTACATTAGTTGCGGGGCAGTGTAATTATTTATTATACAGAGATTGAACCTGGGGCTGAAAGAGGCTATTATCGGTACCTATAACTATAACGCGCTAAACGACATGCCTTGCAAAGCATCGTCGCTTGCGATGTTATGCGACGGGTTGGGCTCTAACCATTGTCTTGAGATAAGCATTAAATTCATTCGTTCCTGTCATACATAATTCATAAATCTGGATGATAATGAATCGACGTTATTCACGTAGATTGCTTGCATAATTAACTAAACTACGCGTGCTTAATACTTACTAAGTTTAATTTTTTTATACTAAACAATGGGTAATTTGAGAAGATGTTTCTGCCAGCCCGCATCCAGTTTTTCCTATACCTATACCATTATCATTGTTTAGTATGAGGGCAAAACGATCCAAATAACGTGGGAGTCTGGTACAAAACAGCCTGCATACAATCTTACTCTTCTATTACTGACAATGAACATTTTCTTCGTCGAGAACAGTGAGATAATTTACCTCAGTACACAATGGATGCAGATAATTATTGGAATTTCAAATGTTCAACTTGACTGTGAGTTCAGTGCATTTTTTAGTTGAGTTCACTTGAAAACAAATTAAAGTTTTACAATAGCATTCGTTAAGTATACACATACTTAAACCATTGCCGAATTTTATTCAAAATGGGGAAAATATCAAGGTGAGTTCCATCTTACCTGGATGAGCAACATGGATCGGCTCAACCAGAGAAGGACCACGATCGCACATATGTTTTCTTAATTTATTTACTTAAACATCTCTACCAGTTAGCCTATAAGTAAGCAGAGAAAGCTACGTTAGAAATTCAATACGATTTGAAAGAGATGAACAAAACAACTATATGAAATTGAAATAATTATGTAACTATTTAATATAAAATTGAAATGGCATACAAACTCACAGTCCACCTTGTGGTAAGTGGTTGCTGCAGCTAGATGGCAGAAACCGGTACGAGCACCCCCTTACCTACCCAGGCAGACTTCCAGCCACGAAAGGAATCCTACCACCTAGTAAAAGTCCTAGTGTGAAATAGCAACATAATGCTGCTGTGTTTCTGAGTGACGAGAACCGGAGACGCTTTTTAGTGGTAATTAAACATTCCATCTTAACCGTCAGGGGTGACAATGCTTCTGCATTTTAATTCTTAATCGAGGATTGACGTATCGGCGTAGACGCCGCAGCAGCCACACGTACAATTAGGTGGATGTTCACCATTAATTCGATTTAAAAAATAACATTTAATGGCTCGTTATGTTGGCGCAAATACCTACACACCACCATAATTAACTAAGAAAAATCTTTAACTTTCATAATGAATTTAAAAAAAATATTAATTCTAGTTTTTAATGACAAAAAATTGATTTTCTGCGCACCTATAAAGCGTGTAAAATCTACTTTTGGCGCCTACTTCACTTTAATCACCATTACTTCGATTTAAAAAATAACATTTAATGGCTCGTTATGTTGGCGCAAATACTACACACCACAATAATTAACTAAGAAAAATCTTTAACTTTTATAATGAATTAAAAAATGTGAATTCGTAGTTTTGACAAAAAGAAAGTATTTTCTGAGCACCTATAAAGAGTGAAATATCTGCTTTTGGCACCCACTTTAACTAAATCACCAACTTTGATTTAAAAAATAACATTTAGTGTCTCGTTATGTTGGCGCAAATACTACACATGGACAATGGGTGACTATGATGAGGGTCGCAATGGTCTCGAAACGTCGGGAAAATAGGTGTAAGCACAAGTAAATTAAACGCGATAAAATCCGTAAAAATAACCTAGTTTCAACTATTTATTAGTTTTTCCTATTTTCCAAGAAATATGTTTAAAAGTGCGTGTTCATATAGTTAGTAGAAATAAAATTTAATACACTTTACATAACCTAATATTATACAAGATTATTGCAGACTATCTAATTACGTAAATGCATAATATCTGCATACATTATAAGATTATATCTTTTAATATGTAGTTGCATTTTCATGAAAGAATATTTGAAGTAAAAACTAACTGAGAAGATAAATATGTTTTTACGATTTCTAGACGAAGTGAAACTAAAATCACAATTATACATACATTTTATTACTTACAAGAAATTAAGATGCTATTAAAAACATAACTCGTGAAAAAAAAACAAGTATCGCAACTCAGTTCTTCTACCGTAAAAAGTTGTGAGATCCATGTAATACCAAGTTGGTTAATTTATTCACTCCCTACTTAAGGGTCCTTCTGTTTTAAGTTATTACGTAATTAGCTAACCTAACAACATCTTATAGTGACCGTATCAATGTTAAAAATCTTTTATGTTTTAAATAACTAGATTAGCTTGGCCATCGCATGAAAACACAATGTATCTCACGGTAACATAGTCTGTAAGTAATCCATATTATATTAAATTAGATTGTTAAGTGCGATTGCCAAGTTAATCTATATAAATTGAAATGTACTGTGTTTATATAATGCATGCTTGGCTTCATCAATTCAGGCTCCTAGTTTTATCTACAACGAAGTTATAGGCGTCGAAAATGCCCTGAAATGCTTCGAGAAAAGGAAGGTACAGCCGTGCTGTTTTTTTGCTGCTGGATTTGGTGGGGGCACTACCGTGCCCCCAGATACCCGACGTTTCGTGACCATCTCGATGGCTGGCAGTCCACTACAGAATTTTCTGCCACGCCCGACCAAACTGTCGCCAGCGGTTTATCTGGACTGATACGACTTAGAGACATTCAAGAAAAGAGCCTACTTCTTCCTTACTCCTTTTTTCTTCTCGGACCCCAAGATACAAGATTATCCTAGTTTGGGGTCCAACTAGGTTTGACATATCTAAAGACCAAAATATCTAAACAAATTTTGAAAATGTTGGTATGTGGTTGGTGTCGAGACTAGAAAGTAATAAATATTAAAAATAAAAAGTTTATTTATTTAATTAAGAGGCCACTAAAAGTACTTTAAACAAAGAACACTTCATTTTTAGGTCGCCACATGTATTTGACATTGAAATTTACCGTCTTCCTCTTTTCCTTGCTCTCCTCTGGGATTCTTTAGTACTTAGTATTTAGAAAAGATTTAAAATTCAAACAATTTACATAAAAGTTAAGTCAAATTAATAACTCAACTCATTAAATCAAGGGCCATACGTTAACTTTCCGAGAAGCTGTTTGTCTGGATATTTTGAGATTTGTCGGGAGTCTGGAGATCATTTGAAATGTCTACAGAATCCAGACGAATCCCAACCATCTGGCAACCCTAGGTCCAACGGAAAATATTTGTATATCTTAATTTTAACATTGTTTAGA